ATCATGTTTACTCTACAATAGCAACTTGCACTATTGGATCAATTCGTCTTGTTGGAGGATCTACTGATTCGGAAGGACGTGTTGAAATATGCAGATATAATTACTACTTTCGTAGTAATATCTATGGTACTATTTGTGATGATTTATGGGATAATCGTGATGCTATGGTGGTATGTAGGCAGTTAGGATATACATCAGGTACTTAATGTTTAAAAGATGGTGTTAAGCTAGTTGTTTAATTCAATTTACAAATTGGTGCCTTTGTGTTATGTGCATGCTTATTGGAATGACTTATCAGTATAATTACTTTATTATACAGGGACTGCATATAACAATTCGCATTTTGGACAAGGATCAGGAGTCATAGTAATGTCTAATGTCCAGTGTACTGGATCTGAATCATACCTTACTAGCTGCCCTCATACAATTAATCATAATTGTGATCACTCTAAAGATGCTGGAGTCAGTTGTGAAGGAAATAGTCAAGGTATGCGCAGTAATATCATGATCAATTAATCTCCTGCAGTTACATGTAACATGTATATAAACCTACCTCTCTTATTACATCAACTTTATTTTTGGCTCTGGTTCATTAGTAGGAGCTATTGTTGGAGGTGTAGTTGGTGGTACTGTTTTCCTAATCTGTGTATGTGCAGTGATTGTTATATGTGTATGTGTACTGCATTCCAAATCAAACCGCTCCAGAGCTAGAGCCAGGCAAGCAGCTCCTGCAGTTCAAATGAGATCAATTCCAGCACAAACTACTAGTACTACAACTGGAGCTTATACACAATCCCAGTCTAAGGCAGAAAATCAACCTCCTCCTCCATCTTACTCAGATTATATGGAGCAGCAGAAAGTCTATTCACAACAAACTGCACCAATGACTTATCCTGGTCATGCTGTACAGGGATATCCTCAACAGGATTATTCTCAAACTGGTTATCCCCAGCAAGTACTTTATCCACAGCAGCAGCAGCAAGAAGCACCAGTTCAGTATCCACAGCAGGAACCACAAGGATATGGAGGAACAAACCCTGGTACTCATGAGTCTACTGGCATTCGTGATGAACCACCACCTCCTTATTGAGCTCATTGATGTTATGGTTTATTTTTTGTACTACCTACCGTATGGAAGGAAATTTTGGAGGTAGTTAAATTTGGCGAATTTGGCGTTTTGATAGCCATTCGCCAAAATAAAAATTCGCCATTTTGAGCCATTATACGCATGCT